CTTACTGGCAAAACAATTACATTGGAAGTCGAACCAAGTGATACCATTGACAATGTAAAAGCCAAGATACAAGATAAAGAAGGTATCCCACCTGATCAACAACGACTCATCTTCGCCGGCAAACAACTTGAAGACGGTCGAACACTCAGCGACTATAATATTCAAAAAGAGAGTACACTTCATCTTGTACTTCGACTTCGAGGTGGTGATGATCAATGAAAAGTATTTTAGGGTATCCAGGTCATTAAATTCTATGAAAATTTTTGCTGTTTGTTTCTCAAACTATTTCAAATGTTCTCTTTAATGTCTAATTTTTCTTCATGCTCCTTTAGTGCATTATTTAATTTCTTTGCTCAATAATAAATGTACTGAGTATGGAAATATACATATCTTGATGTCATTTATGAATAGAAAAGCGAAAATTATTCTTAAATTTAGAAGAGAGGAAACATCTTGATAAGGAAAATACTCTATCAGTTTGATTCTTATGAATTATATACAGAAATATGATTTGATAGGAAAAGTAGTGTCAATATGTCAGCATCGCTTCACTTTTCAAAGTAAAAAGAATCACGTTTTTATGAAAGTCTGCTGTTTTTGACAAAAACAAACAAATCTGTTTTCAAATGTTACAATATATAAATAGATTTATTTCAGACACCTTTATATCATAGTCAAGTCATGAAATGTGTGAAACAAGGAACAACTATTTTTGGTTTTGAAATATATCTATTATCGAAGAAAAACAATGTATTATTATTTTGTGATGTTTATTTTAATGTATTGAACGTAAAATAAGCTATCTATTAGCATATTGAAGTAAGAAATCGACGTAATATTTATTTAATGGAATGCCATTCCATTTTAATGATATTGAAAATCATATCATTATCTTGGCTGAGCATAGTAATTCCTTTGTATTGCACTGTGTCGTTCTAGAGGCAGAACAGTCGATGCCATCATCCACGTCATCTGAATAGGCTCCTCATTTCTTGGTGACTTTGCTCACAAACCCATACCTTGTAATCATGTCAAGTCAAATGACTTGTAAAAGAAGTCGATACGAACTGAAATAACTTGCAAAAGTGAAAATATCACTGAAAAAAGTATGCATCGTTTTTTTTCTTGAACCTTTTGTCTTATAAGACCTGTTACTATGAAAAGAAAAATCATTTATATAGTTTAGTGCAACTTTAAATGCTACATCGATGATCATTTTTAAATTCAATGAATATTACTGTGCTGTCAAAATCAGAAGATAACCATGGAAAAGCCTAAAAGATTGCTTCTACCTTCAAGAAGATGTTATACATATATATAATTCGTAGCAGTCAACGTGACAGTAGGATATTGTAGCAGAACATTTAATTATATTAAATTCTGTATCTTAATGTTAAAAGCATCATTACCAACTCTCAATAATCATTCGACTTTTTTTTGTCTCTCATATTCTGTATTCTTTATTTTTTCTTTTCGAATCGTATTTTTTAAAACAGATTTGTGAACCTTAATATACATAATCATTCATTGACTAAGTGATCGCTTTATTGCAACACGCCATTTCTAGTTACATCCTAGGCGACCATGTGATAATGATAGTCTTCAATTCAGGCAATATCTCTTATTATAGAGCAGCAGAAGCTCAATGTAGCTTGATAAAGATAAGAAAATGAGAAGCTATCTATTTGAGTTTAATATAGAAGTCATAGACTTGATATTTCTCTATCTAATATAAATATCAAAGTAAAAAATTCATTGTATTGACACATTATTTCCCTGTATTCTCAGAAAAGATTTCGTCTTATACAATATTATTTAAAACAAACATCACATGGTCTCCTCTTCGATTGCCTGAAAATCGCAGATTGCTAGCTGTTATGCTTGTCGAGTTATTGAGTTTACATCCATCTCTTTAATTCTGGCGCCGACGTTAGTAAACAATAAGTTAATTTTAATCCGAGATCATTCATTCTTCAATACGGGTATACGAAAGATGCGCACGACGAAACTTGCGCACGATATATATATATACTCACACACATTTATAAAGAAACAAAAACAAAAACAAAAAATAATAGACTAGTCCGTTCTTTTTTTTTCATTTAATAGTGATACGGAAATCGGCCATCAATCCAGACTATTCACCAGTATCTTGACAAACGTTTACTCAATCTTGTCTCAAATCCTCATCGCAATATTATTGATCAAATCACTGCATTAGCACATAACATTATTCTTAATTGAATATTTTGATTTGAAATATGAACACTCAGTAGTAATATTGTATGTATTTTTATGGACGTTATCATCAACTCTTATTTTTTGTGTCTTATTCATAAATCTAAATATTTCAATATAAGATTCTAAGAAATAAATAAAACTATTAATTGTTTGTTTTTTCTAGCTTTTTTCTATCAAAGTAAAACTGATTATTAGACAATTCGTGCGCAAGTTTCACGTGCGCAAGATTCGTCGTGCGCATCTTTCGGGATCCCCTTCAATACATATTTTTTGTTTTATGATCCATCTTAAATCATGTGACTCAATGCAAATTTCATTCATAATCAATAAAAGTTCACTTTCATCTAACACAAGTAGTGAGAGATTCTTAAAAATTTCATTATGATTATGTAAATATCTTTTGCATATTTTCTTCGGCATATTCGATTCTTCAGACGAGCCTTGATTACAAGTACACAAAAAAGTCTGTGTAAATTATTCTTGAATATACATGCAAAATCATTATTTTTATGAGATTTGGCTATGACAACGAGTTTAACTACAGTACAAATGTTTTTAGTGTACAAAAGATATTGTAAACGTATTTTGTTTTCATTTTTTTCACATGCTTATCACCTTGTATATAAGATTCAGCTGGCCGTGTATCGAGGCAATGAAAAAAAAATGAATGCTGCTCACCACCTTTCCAGAATATACAGTACAGAAAGATTAACAAAAAAGGATACCTTGCAAGTGTATTGTTAAATTGAATTCATAATCAGTGTGAAGACATTAACAATATTATTTCATCAAAGGATAGTTGTAATTCTTTATAACAATCATTATTTCAGTATTAGTTGTAGAACAACGAATGCAAAAAAAGTCATATCAAATAGCAAAAATTGGAGTAACTGTAGTTTCAGTTTCGCGTAAGCGTATTCATTCAGGTATTCACAAAAGACATCGAAGAGAGGTAAATTATTTTGAACAATAAATCTTAATTTACTGGAATTATATCTTCAAGGTGGGCATAAAAGTGGCACCTGTCAATAGAAATTCATTAAGCGGAACTAAAACAGTCCTTTCAATACTGCAAAAAGATAATAAAAATGGCAAAGAAGAACAGGTAAACGATATGATCTTAACTAAAATCTATTATCTTACATAGAAGAATATTTTTTTCAAGTTTTTGAAATTATAAACAACTAAAAATTGATTTATTTGATATGATTTTGAAAATCTCTTTTAATCGTTAACTTAGGTATTGTCTAATAATCAAAACTTGGAAGAAACGAAAAGTATATCAATTCCATTTGATCAATATAAATCAGAAACATTCTCTCATACTTCAATTCATTCATCTATTCTTGAACTGCATGAAATTTCATCAATTAAAGATGTACATCATCCTATTTCAACAGTAAGTTTTCTTCTTGATTCCTAATTTGTTTTTTTCAGTATTTTATTATTAATATAGACATCATCATTTAATAAATCCTTTACTTTTTCCAAGAACGATGATGCTTCAAGTATTTTATTGAGAACAAAATCAGTTGAAGAATATCGAGAACAAAAACCGAATAAAAGCAGTCGTCGATATACAAAGCCAATCATAGCAAGAGAATTCAAGAAATCATTAAAAGATATTGAAAATAACGAAAATAATAAAAGAAATCGACGTCGTCGTATTTACAAAATTTGTCCAGCATATTTTAATTATTGTTGTCTTTCAGCAATTATTGGAATTTTATTATTTCTTTTTGGTATTGCTGCTCTCCTCGTTTTTATTTTCACAACTAAACATATAACAACCACAACGACATCAACTACAAGCACAAGTTAGTTTATTTTTATCAGTATTTCATTCAGGTTTTCTCTTCTATAAGAGCGATTTAAAATTTCAGGAGAGCAAAACCCATATTTTGGGTAGCAAATATACATAGTATATATAATAATAACTAAAAAACTTCAAGAGAGTCAACTAGATCTTTGGATAACCATCGTTCTCTGAGCTTTCATACTGTATAAAACATTAATTCTTATGAAAATATTAATCCATTTTTAATTTCTATTATCTTTTAGCTGCAACTTCAACAACAAGTACGACAACTACAACCTGTAAATTTCTATTTCTTTTTTTAATAAAAATTTTTACTAAGTTTATTTATTCATTTAACTATATAGCTACGACAACAACATCAACAAGTATATTATACTTTGTATCTTAGTTTTAATTCTTTTATTTTCATCATAGCTTCGACATCAACAAGTACTTCATCAACAACCTGTAAATCTTTTTTATTTTGTAATTAATAAGAAAATATTTATTTATTTATTTATATGTTTTAAGCAACAACTAGTGTAACTACTACAAGTAAGTAAAGATAATGAATTTAAAAAAAACAAATTCTTTCTCAATATTTCTTTTTTTATTTGTAACAAAAAAAAATTCATGTTTGTTTAAATCATTAGTATATGTTTTTATTAATTTAGCTACAACAACAACAAGCAGTACATCATCAAGTAAGTTCTGTTTAGTATGTCTTTCTATTGTCAAACATATTTCTTGTTCTCGTTATTAATAGCATCAACATCGACTACGTGTGAGTGTTTTCTTCTCTATTCTGATATAGTCAGTATTCTTCTTTCTTATTCATATTTACAAGCACGAACTACAACAACTACATCAAGTAAGTCAAATGTAAAATGAAGAAAATAAAAATTTCTTTTTTCCTAAATGTTTTGACATGATGCTTGATTCCTGGAAATTTCAAATATTTCTTCTAATTCTTCAAAGAAAAGATAATTCTGTTTGTTTTGCTAAAATACTTTTTTTTACTCATTCTAGCAACTACTAGTGAGACTACAACAAGTGAGTTAAATTTTTTTTTTTGTTTTTCATCTATAATCTGATTAATCAAACTGAACAGCGACGACTCCAACACCTCCTTGTACACCAACATCTGTTGGCTCTGCAAGTACTCTTTATACGACATCATCTGGTAGTGGAACTTCGTATACATGTTTCGCCTATGAATGGACGTCACCTACTACAGGTCTAGTTACTCTTGCCTTTGAATTGCGTCATGATCCAGACTTATGGTTTCTTGATGATGTATCAGTATATGCTGGAGCTGTTCAAATGCTAAGTAATACAGGTTTTGAAACTGGTTCTCTTTCACCTTGGGTAAGAACAACACCGTATGGATCTTGTTGGGGAACAGCAGGTCATTCGTGTAGTAGTTATTCGTCTCACAGTGGAAATTATGAGATTTGTGATGGAAGTAATGGATGTGCTGATTGAATTAGTCAACAATTTATGGCTACAGCTGGACAAGTCTATATTGTTAGTTTTTGGTTAAAATCAGGTTCAACTGGCTCTACTATATCTGCGAAGGTTACTCTCTCGTAATTAGTTTCAACAAAATAATTGCATCATTTATGATCATCATCTTCGAAAATAGACCGAATAGAAAAGTGACATTTTTTTTTTAGAATTTTTTTGTTATCTTTTGAGACCCATAGAAATAATAAATCTTGTCAATAGAACAAAATTTTTACTCAATACTGTCTTTCTAAATACTAACTCGATCATTCGATACTACAATTCAAAATTACAAAGCATTAACTTTTCGTTCAATTCTCTAATATGTATATAAATAAGTAATGACAATATTAAAATATTAACTTCACATAATCATGATGAATAAAAAACTAAACTGTAAATTTCATTATCAAAGATGAAGTTTTGCATAGAAAATAAACAATTCGCCTTAGAGATCTATCACTGGATAATTCCTATAAATTTTTCACGATCTGTTTCAATGTCTTTTTTATGAATAATCATTGAAACCACTGTACAGCTTTTCTCTTATAGTTGATGAAAAAAAAAACAACAAAAAAATATATTTTTCGTTGTTCGACGGATTTTGAATCAGTATGAATGAAAATAAACAGTCTTACAATAATGAATGATAAAAATTCAATCATTTTTGCCTGATTGAGAGTTGAGAGAAAAAAAACAACAACTTGAGTATGAGTTGTTTGAGCTATCCTCCAAAATAATTCACATAGCTACATCTTCTGCATCTGAATAAAAGAAATCTTTGCTGAGCTTTATATGTTTTTATTTCGATTTTTAATGTATGAAATTGTAATGAAGAAAAAAATTGAGTTCTGACGAATGAGCATGTTATTAAATTTTTGAGTATTCAAAAATTAATTCAAAAAATTCTAACAGTTGATCTGTAAAACACAAGTAACTTCGGAATATGTAAAATGGTACGATCAATATTTCTATGAAGATAAAGAGTATGAGCAAGATGTAAAATATATGTAAAACTAAACTTCTTCTTCATATTATTAAGTGTGTCCACAGACTGTACTTCTCAGTTCAATTTAAAGTGATCTAAATAGTAGAAAACAAGAAAAAGAGTGAAATGTGGAGGTCAAAAACTAAATATGATGGATCGTTTTTTCTCTCTTACCGACTGAAGACATCTTATGAAAATGAAGAAGTCTTTCAGTTCTATTTAACAATAATTTCAAATAAGAAAATATCCATTTTAATAACTCTTGTAAAGGAATCATATTTTTACTGAACAAAGTTAGTCATAACAACAAACAGATACTGTTCTATTATTATAACTTGCTGTGAATAGCTTGAAGAAAAGTTTTGCAACGGTTATGCTTAATATTAATTTATATAAAATTTGGCAATTAAATATCGAAGTTGATAAAATTAGAAATCTCAAAAGTTATTTGAATTTCACACATTATCTTTTCATGTGATTATACTGTTACAGTTTTCTCAAAAGAACCTGCGTGTTAATTGATATATACAACAGATAGATTTCTGATCGATCAGTTTGTGTAATTGAGTCGACAAATCCAATCTGATTCAAAAACAGCAATGTTCTGAAATTAAGAAATAATAATTGCTAAGTTGTTGAGAATTACTCAACAGAGTTATGAAAATTTCTCGTGAAAACGAAAATCGACTATTAGTTCCCGGACAGTTTTCTCATTCATAAAAGTGGCAGATGCCTTGGCAACGTTGCCCTTTCCTCTGCATGTCATACACCGTGTATCAATAATGTCTCGTTATAAGAGATGAGCTATTTTCTTGTTACATTTCTCGAAGATGAAGCAAGAAAAACATTGGTGAAGAAATGTGTTTCAAGATAGAACGAATACAACAATTCG